GCTGACTGTCAACCTCCACCCTGGGAAACTGGAGTTCCTGGCATTAATATGGGCGGTGTGCAAAAAATTCAAGGATGTTTTGTTCTATGCACCACACTTTACTGTGTATACGGACAATAATCTACTTACCTATGTGATGGACACAGCAAAACTGATTGCAGCCAGCTACAGGTGGGTGGGGGAGCTTGCTGACTTCAGGTTCAGTACAAAATACGGACGAGGAAAAGTCAGTGCAGATGCTGACACCCTTTCACTTCTCCCACTTGATATCAACATGGAGGAATGCACTGAGGAACTCAACAGGGATGCCGTCCATACTGTGTGGGAAGGAAGTGAAGCTGCCAAAAAGCATGATGTTTCCTACGTTGGTTCTCTTAACCTAGTCCAAGATTCAGGCTCAACGGGTAAGACGGCATTACCTACCATTAGCCAAAGTGAACTGGTGAGAAGAGCCCAGAGGCAAGATGAGGCCATAAATGCAATGAAATTTCTTTCAATTTGTACATTTTTAAATGTACAGTTGAATGACAATAAAATCTGTCTATGTCTATATCTTATACTGTGATACATTTCCCCCCCATATCATCCAGCCATAATTTGAACTACAAACTAGACAAAAATACTTGGTAAGATTTTGTGATTTTGCAGTGTAAAAGCTTCATCCTACCGTAATGGAGTAAAGATGATTGTTTTTTCTTTCACATCCATTTTCCAAATGTACACATTTAACTTTATCTTGCTGAAAAGTTACTTGTGAGTTAGTTTTGTCAAACGATATTTGCACCAGATACTACACTAAAAATACTTGAAGTTTCTGTGGTTTTGAAGTGTAATTTTTATTGCTGTTATGTATGTTAAATCTGTTTTTGTCATATATTTGAATGATTTCTGCTGTATGATGTTTGTTTTTAATAATGGGCCCCATAAAGAGTGTAAATCCAGCTAGTGGGGATCCTAAACAATAAACAATATCTACACTGCAAACCCCTCCCACAAACTAAGTATTTGCAGTTTAGTTTCTAGTACAAATATCTTATTACACTTTATTAAGACAAATCTAACTTACAAGTAACTTTTTAGCAAGATATATTACCTTTATTAACTTGACTTAGAACTAATACTTTTTCATCAATATTAAGGTGTTATAAGGTATTAATTATTGACTCATATTGCTGTAAAGTTACTTATGAGTTAATTTTGTCTTATTTCAAGTGTGATATGATATTTGCATTAGGATTAGACGAAAATACTTGGTAAGATTCTGTGTTTTTGCAGTGAAGTAAAGCCAGTTCAGCTAGTTTTCGATGTATTTTCACGGCTAATTAATCTGATGTACTTTACCTTTAAAGTACCTGGAGGTTCGCAAGTTGGGGAGGTAGATTTTGTTTTTTTCTGTGCTTACCTGACTCCTCAGCCTAACAAGCACAACAAGTCTCTTTAGAAAAAACCCAGCAGGCTTCAATTAAATCGTAAACTCTCCTCTCTGCTGCTCTCCAGCTGCTTTTCTCTCAGGGTGGTCAAATTAACTTTACTCTATGCTCACAGTTAATAGCATCGCAGCAGAAAGCAAACCTGCAGAGTGCGAGCATGAAAAACAAACGTGGGATTGAACAACAATAGGTAGAGCCAGGAGGAGGGGGCTGCAAATGTGGAACCACTTAAGGTCCGAGCGCGCTTGCCCTGCAAAGGGTTAAAGATGGCGATGGGATAAGTGGAGCTCGTTTATCCCAAATTTGACAGTGGTAGTTAAATGTTGGGTTTTCCCTCCAAACTGGCAGTCTGGACGAGGCTTTCTGCTCCCCTCAGCCTCCCTGGTGCTGCGCTCGTTTACGACCGCCTGTCTTCTCTAAATCAAATCCGAGAAAAGGAGGACGATTCCGCAAGATTATCTCCTCAGCTTCACCTCCATCCATCCCACCATTATTTCAGCTTTCTCTCAGCCGTTCGCCTCTCCTCTCCTCCGCCCCCACCAACGCTCCGCTTTGTCTTTCACTGTGGAGCTAAATTTCCCAACCTGCCGCCCCTGGGATCCCCGCAGATGTCCGGAGCCTGGCGCTGAAGCGGGCGCTCGCCAGCAGCCCAGATGCATCTGCGACTCTTTGCCTTTGGGATGACCTTGCTTTGTGAGGTGATCAGGATGGGGTCGGGCGTCACGCAGAAGCGAAGTGGTGAGTAGACGTCCAAGACGACCAGAAAACCACAACTGGCTTCCTAATTATTGAGTTATTACGAAGGATAAAGTTTAATATGTAATATTTGGCAAATGGACATGAAGGAAAACAGGCAACTTTACTTCATAAGGTAGGTTGGAGTACTTTTGTCTAGTTTGTAGTTTAAATTAGGACTATTACGATAACAAATGTTCTGGACGATAAACTGTCCTGGAAGTCATTGCGATAATCAATAATGTTTTCAAGTAATGCAAGAAGACATCATCAAAAATCAATAAACTTTAAGCTCTAATGAATATTTAACACTGGAGCTGGAAGAGATTTTAAATATCTAAAATAAACAAACAAAACAACAAATAAAATAAATTATGAAGTCTTTAAAAGCAAAAATGTCTTTTAAAAATGGTTTAGTTGAGGCCAAAACACCAGAGTGAAGATTTTATCATCCAGTTTTCAGTAAAAAGAGAGAAAAGAGAAAAACGATGAATTATGCAAATGGAAAATATTAAGATTATTTTAATTAATCATGTGATTAATTGATTACTTGCAACAGGCTGAGTTCAAAAATCTCAGTCCACTTTAAATATGATTAAACTAACTTACAAGCAACTTTTCAGCAAGAAATAGGAGCTTGTTGTGGTTTACTTATAAAATGTGGAAAATGTTATAAGTGAAATAATCTGCCAGTTTTACTAGAACTTTTTATCAATAACAAGGGATTATTAACTTAAAACAAACTCCTATTTCTTGCTGAAAATTAACTTGTAAGTTAGTTTTGTTTTATTTCAAGTGGAATAAGATATTTTCATTAGAAGCTAGACCAAAAAAACTTAGATTTTTTATCCTATATTTTCATAAAACCTAATGTCTCTTCACATCTATCTGAAGCTAACTTTAAATAAAAATCAGAATTTATGCTTTTATTCCTCAAAAAACTTTCAATCTGAGCTGTCGCTCGATGTGCTCCAACTCGTTTGTGAAGGTTTAGATTTGACTCCAATGATTCTGCGTTTGGAAATCGCTGCAGCCAGACAGGTATGTGGCGACTTCGGCGCTCACCAGCGACCTGCATTTCCTCAAGAATTTGGTAATAATGGAGGACAATCCCGTCCCAATCACACAATCTGTCTACCTTAAAATGCCTCCGTAAAAACACAATTACCTCCATGATGTCATGCTAACTATTGTAAAATTTGACAATCTTAAATGTAAAAGCTGAAGGCATGTGAAGGAGTTTAAAGGCAAGCTGCATCCATCTCTTCACTGCAAAACACAAAACCTTAACATCTACTGTTGTGCAAATATCTTATTAAATGTAAAATTAAATTAAATTAAATTACAAGCAAGATATAGGAGTTTGTTTAAGTCGATAATTTCTATATATTGATAGAAAAGAACTAGTTCCACTGGATTAGTTCACTTGTAACAGAACATATTTCCTTCTTATAAGTAATATAATCTGCCAGTGGAACAAGTTCTTTTTAAAATCAATATTAAGGAATTATTGACTCTAAATAAGCTCCTATATCTTCCTGAAACGTTACTTGTAAGTTATGTGTTTTATTTAAAATGTAATAAGATATTTGCACTTGAATCTAAACCAAAAATACTTGGTAAGATTTTGCAGTGTTCACAACGACAGATTTACGTTGGTTTACGTTCCCCCTCTCCGTCATCTGCGCCTGACATTTTCTACTTTTTATCGTCTGCTCGAGTTGCCCATCTGGACCTGGTTCCTCTTTTTTTGACTCTTAAAACAAAAACGGAGCAACAGAAGCAGCAGGAGTTTTGTGTTTCAGTGTGAAAGCTGCAGTGCAGAGGTCAGAGGGAGCCGAGCCCATTATTCTGTCCATCAGGGCCGGCTCTCTGTTGCTATGGTTACTGTAGGTAATTGTGAGCATCTGTGGTCGTTTTTTAAAAGGAGAAAAGGGAGGAAACATGGAGAAAAATAACAGAAACTGTAGACGAAGAGTTACCAGTGGAATGCTTTAACTTCAATTCAATTCAAGACGTTAAAAAACTTTTTTTTTCTAGTAGTTTCTGTAAAATTTTACCATTTCCCAACAATTAACTGGTCTTCTCAGTGGACAGACATTACTGACATATATATGGCTCTCTCTCTCTCTCTCTTTTATTAAATTGATGTTTTGATCAGTTACCCAGTACTTGAGTTGCCTTTTTACCAAAAACTTTTTTGCTCTTACTTGAGTGATTAAATATTAAATATCTTAGGTTTAAAATAGTGAATTTATGCTGTTAATTAGCAAAAAGTCAAATCTTTCTTTGAAAATGTATGACTTTTTGACATTCTTTTTCTTGTAAATATGCAAAATTATTCTCAATTTTGTTTTGATTTTTTTTTTGGCAAAAATTGAGTCCCTGGTGGCTTATTTTTATTTTCTGACCCTAAATATTCGATTAATGTAGAGTTTAAACTTTATATTAATTTAGAAAAGAAAGGGTATCTTTTAATTACCATTTTTAAGCTGTTGATTAGATCAAAACATGTATAATAAAACAAATTAACTATTAAACAAAGTTGATGTAAAAGTTTGATTTATTCGGAAAGAAATCAGAAAGTCTGTATCACCATAAAAATGTTTTTTTTTTTTAATATAATAAAAATGATCAGAGATGTGTGTTCACTTCCAAAAGTTAATTTACACGAATAAAAAACTGCATACTTTGAAAAGAAAGAAAATCAATACAATTATTGAATAATATAACGATGCAATACGCTATTAGCAAATAATTTGGTATTTTGAGCTTTAACAGTTTTAATATTTAGTTGCGGAACTAAATGCGCAATGCAACGTTCTGCAGGGAAACTTTATAAAGTGACACCAAAACACAAAACAAAGGATTCCCGCTTATTCATAAATTTGATATTTGGGAACATTAAAGTCCCTCATGCAGCTACAGTGGAGAAGGAAGGCGAACCGAACCAGAACTTCACTTAAAAACTCACCTGAAATAACGTCAAGTTGAACGTAAGCACGACAGAAACTGAAGAAAATCAGCTTCCGGTAGCGGCCCTTCAACGGTAGGTTAGCCGACCGGGCTAACATAGCCCGGTCGGCTAACGGAGTTCGACTGTCCGTTAATGGGAGGTTTTCCCAACAGCTGTGCGTGTTGCATTCAGGTGCAACTGGGACACTTTGCTGTCAAAATACCGAAACGCTTTAGGCATTTTTATTTTAAATTTTCAAAACGTTAACACTGAACGTTGTATTTTTGTAGAATCTATCTACTTTATTCTACTTTTACTGAAAAAAAAAATTCAACCAACTCAACAATTAGAACATGATCAAATCCAGTTCAAAAGCACAGTACAGTACAATTATCTTAGTTAACTTGAATCAAGAGAAAACAAGTAACTTTTCAGGTGTTTTAAGTCATGGTTCCTTAATATTGATGAAAAATAACTAGTTCAACTGGCAGATTATTTAACTTTCAACGAGACATTATTCCCATGTTAAAAGTAAAAAAAATGTGCCATTTGAAACAAGTACTACTTTTTCACTATTGCATGAAATTGTTGGCTTTATATCTTGATAAAAAAATTAATTGTAAGTTAGTTTTGTCTTATTTCAAGCATACTCAGATATTTATGCTAAATGAAAGCAAAAACACATGGTAAAATATTAAAATATCAACTCTAACCTGGTTAAATAACTTTAAATTAACGAAAACCGTTTAAGATGTTCTCCTGAGGTAATTAAACTCATTTAGAAAAAGCCTTAAATGCCACCCACAGGAATTTCTGATTTCTTTCCACTCTGACATTATGCTAGAGTGGAAAGCATAATGTCAGAGTGGACATTATGCTTTCCACTCTAGCATAACGTGGAAAGATGAAACTGCTCCTGAAAAGCAGCAAACTGCTGAAGCTCACATTTATTGATAATTATTGTTAAATCGGGTGCGTTTAATCAACAGTAGCTGGCTCCTTTTTTCCCTTGTTAATCTCATCAGCTTTTTCCATGTAAGCGCGAATCTTTACTGGCCTTTCATCTAAATTATTCCCTAAAACACAATTTTAAATCTGAACCTGAAAGGCTAAAAAATAGTTTTCAGTAAGGAAGCATTCCTAACCCGACTGGCATTAATTGCCTGCAGTTGCAGAAAGGCTATTAAAGACACACACAGTGAGTATTATTTTAACACGGCAAGGCAGCTGGCACCTTTTTCTTGTTAATACACGCGTCCTGATGCATTGTGGGAATTCTGCTCAACGACTGCTGATTGATGTCACAGACAGTCTGACCTGAAAGTAAATTAACACTTTTAGCAGCGTGACAGAAGAGAGTGAACCCATCAAAACTCTCATTAAGTAAACTGTTTGCAATCTGTGAAATATTTGGTCGTGGCGCTCCAGTGAATTCAGTTTAAGGTTAAAATTCCTTCCCATTTTCCCGAAACACTGACTGAGCTCGTTACACATGGATCTTGTTAAAACAAAACACACGAACTCAAGAAAAAAAAGCCCAGGGTAATCCCATGCAAGTTCAGAGGTCACGGTTTTACGCTACCTAAACCTGCAGCTCCTCTGAAAGTCTGCAGATTCGGAGCACATGTGTGTGGAGCGGCGTTTCAGACGGCCGGGTTGAGACCTCAACGGTTGTCTGGGGGAAAATCCGCCCTGAACTCTGAACTCCTCCAACAGATCCGTCATCTTTTTGAGCCCAGATTATTTAAACACGATGACTAATGCAGAGTATCCTAAAGTAATGACAGATCTGCATAAAACCTTAGAGTCGTTTCCAAATGGTTTGGAGAATTTGTTGTTTCTCAGTAATTTGGCATCTTTCTTAGTCAAAACTGAAAGAAAAAAAAAACTACATTTTTATCTTCACTTATATTGTTGCAAACGCTCTATTAGACATATATTGCTTCTGTTTGATTTTCTTAACCAACAAAACCCAGAGGATCGATTTTATGGCACACAAAGATGCTGTAGTTTGGTTTATTTGCTGTATTGTGTTTTCAGTTTCTTTGTCTTAAAATGGTTAGTTCTCTTCTAAATTGCTTTGTACATAAATCCGAACACTGCAAAAACACAAAATGTAAAACAACAGTGCACTTTACTAAAGACAAAACTAACAAGTAACTTTTTAGCAAGATAAATTTAGGAGCTTTTCTTAGGTCAATAATTCCTTAATATTGATTTTTTTAAAAACTATTTCCACTGGCAGATTTTTTTCACTTATAACAAGACGTTTTCCCCATAATATAAGTGAAATAATCTGCCAGTGGAACTAGTATTTTTTCGTAAATATTAAGGAATTATTAACATAAAATTAGCTCCTTTTTTTTTTGCTAAAAAGTTAGTTGTAAGTTAGTTTTGTGTTAATTCAAGTATACTGAGATATTTGCACTAGAAATTAGACCAAAATACTCTGTAAGATTTTGTGTTTTTGCAGTAAAATAGTTCACAAAAGAAATCATTTACAAAACCGCCAAAGTCCAAAGACTTTCGGAAACCGCTGTTGATAGAGCAAGGAAGGAAAATATGAAGAAATGAAAACTGGGCCGGCACATTTGACTGATCTGATCTGCTTTGACTTTTTGTTGTTTGTTTTTGTTTTGTTGGAAAACTTATCTTTATTTTACACCATGATTCTAGTGAAGAAAATTAACTCTCCAGTCCTGAAGATCTTCTTTCCGCTACTTTAAGACGCTTCCCTTCTTTAACGCCTCTGAAACGGGCTTTCTACCGTGCCTCTGCAGGGCTGAGTCACAGGAGAGAAACTCTTGAGGATTTGGATGCCACTGATTTGGAGGCTTCCTGGTTCAAAACATCTCAATCAATGCATAATTATGGTTTATTTATTATTTTACAAGTTTAAAGGTGACATATCATTTTTCCTAGAACAGTTTAGGATAAGTTTATGGGTGATACAAAACATGTTCCTTACATTTTTTGTGTACAAAAACATTTTTAGGTAATGAAATTTTAGTCTGCTTCTGCCTATATTTTTAGGGCCTCTTGTCTCTTTTAATCCAAATAAGTAGCTGCTGGGCTCGGCGCCCCAACTCAATGTTTACACTCACACCTGAAGATGGCTGCAAACAGATGTGCAATTATACAAGCTTACATCTTTGAAAAGCATTAATGAAGCCTCCTGCACAACCAACAGGTATGCAGCAAGTGGTTGTAAGTCAACAATAAAACACTTGTCTTTTCCAGCAGCCGTTGTACGGCACATACAACACTAAAACCAATCATGCTACAGTTACGCTGGGATTGCTAGGTAACGGTGCTGTACGCGTTGAATGTTACTCAACAACCCACATTAAGCATTTTCAGTGTTTTCAGTGGACATTTATTGAGAAATTTGTAAAAACAGAGAAGTACAAGAGGATCAAAACAGAAAGGACATAGTAACAGTTGAGTCAAAATGAATGGGAAATAAAACTGTTTTTCTTCCTGGTTTGGAGCGAGTCAACCAGGCTTTGCAAAGCGTAATTTTGTCAGATGTTTACGCTACACATGATGTAATAAACAACATGTAGAGGTTGTATACTCAAAAAGGAGAGGGATTTTCAATAATGTCAACTAAAATTGTCGTTGTTACAATCTGACAGACGTAAACAAAGAAATGAAGCTCCAATGCAACAGCGATGAGTTCGCTAATCTGATCCAGAAAATGTGTTTCCATCTAAAAAGACAAAAACCACCACAAGCGAGGGTGAAATTAGCTTTGCACTTACTGGTTTGTAAAACAGCTGAGTCAGACTGGGTGGAAAGTGTTAGTGGAAATCTTTCGCCCGACTCATCAGCGAGCATCTGGAGGTTTACCATGAGGAGGCAACAGGAAGCCACCGCCGCCACGTGAGTTCACTTCCTGTTCGAAACACATCTAGATCTATGGCAGAGTGATCAGACTAATCATGATTATTCAAATACTTATCAAATAATTTACTAATCAATTAACAGTTAACTGGATTACAGAGACGCAAAAAACAAAAGAAAATACACTCAGAGCTGTAATTAAGGCAAAACTCTAGAAAAAATACATCCATTTTGCATTTAAGATGAAAAACCTTCTGTTTGTAAATATTAGCTTCACTTGCTGCAAAATCTCACCTTTTTTGAAATATTGCCAGATTTATTTGTTGATCTGCTGTAATTTTGACACAAATTGATTCAAAACTCAACACAGTAAAGTGTCTATATGAGGCCGACACATTTTGTGTTCATGTGACACATTTACTGTGCTAATAATTCAAAAAAAGTAAATGTGTTAGAATGATTTAGCACCATCGTTGTGTTCATTTACAGAGTTATTGTGTTAAATAATTTTAACACAGCTGTTGTGTTTAGTGTTAAAACAATGTGGTCATTTGATTGAAAAAAAAGGGGAAAATAAAACATGAGTCCTGGCAGATTGAATTAGGAACTAAACAAAAACAATTCAGTCTCCTAATTCAGGAACTCTGCTTATGCTTTATTAACTTTTTATTGTAAAAAACATTATTTACCACTTCCTGCTACGAAGAGGTCCAACCCAGGAACCATAGATGGAAACTATCTTGAGCTTAATCTGGTGCAAAGCAACTTTTATTAATGTTGTTTTGCACATTGTTTCTTTAATATAAACTAATAAATAAAAAAACAAATATGGCGGTCCCTTCAGTTGTGGAAAGTTCAAGAACTGCAGACGTCCAAGAAGTGACATCATTGCTCAGTGGTTGATGTCACTCATATTCTGTGCGTCCAGTTGTTGGAGTAAAACAACACAAAGTGAAGAAAACAAGACAGGATGTGTTTACTGGATGATAACAGAAAATCTGTTGAAAAACAACACATTTCTTTTTTTTATTATCCAACTCTCACATTGCACGTTTCTTTACCTTCATTTGGGTTTCTGCTGCTTTTAAGAACAGACCAGGCGCTTAAAAAAACCCACCCAGCTGGCTTTTGGAAACAAGTTAATGGTTTATAGTTTATGGAAAATGAGACATTTCAAAAAACCTCCAGAATGTAATGTCACAAATCAGCAGACATTGACCCTTCACCTAGTAAGCTCAGTTTGGTTACCTAGCAACCCGAGCAGAATTCCGCCCGTTACCTAGCAACCCAATCAGAGTTCCAGGACATGGAGCACACAAAAATGTTAATATCTAAGAATTATTTTGTGAAAAAAATGTAATGAACATGTTTTATAAGGATAGTAAATATTTTCTAACATGTTCAAGGAAGCATAATGGTCACCTTTAAAAGAACATGGAGTGAATTCAAGGTGCAGAGGAGTTTCACTTCCAGCATAATAATGGAAGCCTTTCAATGTCTACAGTTTAGTATTTCAGACAGCTCTGTCGAGGATTTCCATGGAGCCCAGATAGCATCTCGGCATCTTGAGGATTTATGGAATCTTTCTCCCCCCCTGCTTTCCTTTGTTGCCCTCGTCTTATTTTTGTTTTAATATCTTCTGCGCCTAATCCGGATCTGTCTTAATGTGCTTCCTGCAGCTCACAGAGAGACGTCAGAAGACTGTCAGAGTTGTCTGGAGTGTTCGCGGGACAACGGCTGCGTACGCTGCCCAGAGCGACTCTTCCTGTTTCTCCAGAGGAAAGGGATGTCTCATCATGGGACGTGTCTCCATTCCTGTCCAAATGGACACTTTGGACAGAGAGGGAGGGACGTGAACCGCTGCATGAGTACGTAAAAATGTGTTATGAAGAAACAGCAAAGATGAGACCTGAAAAAAAATAATGAAAAGACTAGTTTTTTTGGGAGAGGTTCAATCAGCCTGACTTCCTTGTAATCTGTTGAAGCTTCAATTAGTCTTTTAAAGCCTTTCTTTGGTATTCAGCTGCTTCAGCTCAAGTTGTCCCTGAGCATGATACGCACCAAATGCTCCTGTTATAACTCAACAAATCCTGCTTTTCTCTTACCTAACAACCCCAGCAGAGTTCCGCCTGTTACCTAGCAACCCAAGCTGAGTTCCAGCATTTTTGGTCGACTTTTTTTCCTGCTATGCAATGGCTGCTGGAAAAGACAAGTGTTTTGTTGTTGACTTACCTTCCAGAAACCACTTACTGCATTCTTGTTGGTTGCAGAAGGATGTACGGTTGTATAGTTGCGCATCTGTCTGCATTCATTTTCATGTGCGAGTGTAAACGTTGAGTTGGGGACAAGTGGTCAGCAGCAGCTTATTTGGATTTAAAGTGGCAGAGACCCTAAAACAGCTCAAATTAGGTGGAACTGATTAGACAAAAATGTTATCTGAAATGTAATGAGCATGTTTTGTGTCGCCCACAGACCTTTCCAAACATGTTCAAGGAAGCATAATAGGTCACCTTCAATATACATCTCTCAGCAAGAGTTTTCATGTAAAGTTACTGCAATTAACTTGTAATTAGTTTTTGCTGGGGAGAGAAACAGACACTATGTGGCATTTTAATAAACACAACATAATATAGGTAAATAAGAAAAAAAGAGTTACAATTTAACTGTATCCTGAACAAAAACTATGAAATTTCACCGCTCTTACAGTCTGGGTTTCCTTTAATATTTTAATTTTTCTACTAACTTTAAATCATAGAAATCTTGAAATTTTTAGAATTTGAACTTAAATGTGTGAGTTTGTGAAAGATAAACTTGCAGTAGTAAGTTGTGTTAACGTTATTAAGATTATCATATCTGTAAAAGTAAACAAGGGATTTTAAGTTGGCACTTCAAAACAATGAAAGAAGAAAAAAGCGGGATTAGGAAATATTTCCCAGGGTGCTTAGTGGCAGGTTATTGTATGTTGTATTGTGAGTTTTATTAAAGCAGATATTCATTTCAAAGCAACTGTTGCCTTCTCTCATTATTTAAGCGCTATTCAAAACAAAAATTTGATTGTGATGTTTATTAAAATATATGATCAGATATTTAGTTCTTGTAAGTCGAATCAAAAATGTAAATTCTTCTAACTTAAAATAGTAATTTTAAACAACAACCACCTGTGCCTCTGGAGCTGCAGGTTGCAGGTGAAACTCAGATTTTCAGTTTGTGATGTTTATCCGGCGCTTTGCTTCCTCCCAGAATGCCGCTCGTCAGACTGCGAGCTTTGTTTCAGTCGGGACTTCTGCACCAAGTGTAAGCCTGGCTTCAAGCTGCACAAAGGCAAATGTTTGATCCAGTGCCCAGAGGGAACCTTCGCTCACCAGACAGACTGCCTCGGTAAGTAAAAAACTGCAATATTTGGAGATATTTACAGATAACTGATGTATTTTCTTTGTTAAGCAACAGGAATTCCAAGCCAGGTTAATTTCCTCTAAAAACATATCAAGATTCAGATCTTGTTGCCTTAGGAAGAACAATAACCAAATGCGTCTATCTTTTTTGATTTAGTTTGCTAAGATATGTACAAATACTCAAGATGTCTAACAATGATATGAATATCACTATACAGTGATGATCATTTAAGATAAATAGTGATGATTAATCACCAACAGTAGTGCTGCAATTAATCAAGATTAATTACAGCACTAGTGTCTGTGATTAATCACAATTAATCACCAACACTAGTGAGTAAAACTAGCACTAGTGATTACTCACTAGCACTAAATTCACTAGCTCTAATAAATAGTGTGATATCACTGTGATTAATCGTAGTCGTAGTTCACATAAACTCCCACAAACAAATAATGGTTCTGCTATTGTTTGAGCTTCTGAGATGCTAATCGGCCGCTCACAGTTGTAAAAATTATACCTTGTTAACATGGTTACAACTGCCATAAAGGAAAAACATACAAGCAAAATATTTGCAAAAACCAGACAAATATGCAATGCCTTAAAAAAAAATTAGCAAAATTCTAAAAACAAAAAGGAAGAAATCAGAAATAACCAGTTTTATTGTTGCATAAGAACTGCAGAAATCGGCATACCTGTATCTGCATTGCTAACATGAAAACACATGAGGTCTGCATCTTGTTCCAGGTTACTGCAGGCTCTGACCTAATCTGAGCCACATATAAAAAGATACTCCTCTCCAACAGAGACATCAGTGAAACTAAAGCTGGTGGCGTAATTAAAGCAGACTCCTTTCTCAGCCGTTTTTATTCCACCTTAAACAGCCTGAGTGACTTCACCTGCAGGTTTTTATGTTGATGTTATCGGGTTCTAATGACTCATAATCCCATTAAGTGACAGCCTAATAGGATCTGTTTAACGTGCTTTTAATTTTGTTTTTAGCCTCCTAACGTCACCTGGAAACACTCGTTTGTATTTTTATCTGAGTTAAATCCGTTTGGATGGGGCCAGGCTCTCAACAAAACACACGATACGGATTAAAAACCTTCAGAGTGGTTTTGGGCTTCCTCCCTCCCTTCTCTGTAAGTGAGATATATGATTGAACTCGGTCATCATTTGATGCTTATCGTTTCTCCTCTGCCGTCCACCTGCAACATCTGCAGCTACGGTTCTTTTCTGGCAGTCGAGCAACATCTGGTATTAATGGTGCTGTTGGGGTTTTACGTCCAACTGTTGGTACACACCTCAACAAAGCCTCTGCTTTCAAATCTGACGGCTGCAATGACGATCATAAAGATACGCCGGCGCCGTTTGGCTGAAGCTGCAGAGCTTTTCATGCGGCCTTGTAGGCTGCATGACATCTCTCTTCCTGAGTAAGCGGCTAATGTTCAGCTGGCATTCATCTACCTTAAATAATTGCACCGTTGCTGCCAGAAATCCAGGGAAATCTTTAAGTATTAGTCCAATTCACCACTGCTGAGTTATAGTTGCAGTTTATTTTATCTTTGCTGTCACATTCACTCTCCGTAATATGCGATCTTCAGCATTTATGTATCCAAGCTTGTTTCCATGTTTTTAATGCTGTTTTTTTCCAACAGCTTCAACTAAATCTATTATGAGTACGTATGTAATGGATTTAATTACATGATTCTGACTTTAAAAAACACATTTAAAGGAAAATTTGAATAAACATTAGTGCGGTCAATTAAAAATGTAATCATGATTAATCACAGTCTAGCGCTGTGATCAATCACGATTAATCACTGGTTCGTATCACGCAGCTGTGAACTAGCAGGAAAAAGGCTTTCAGGTCAAAATAGTAGTTTGATTAATATGCGGTCTGTAATATCAGCATATTTTCAGATTAATCGCACAAATTAATGCGTTAAGGTTGACAGCCCTAAAAACCAACTTCCAAGTTTTTTCTAGATCAGTCTTGAAATTTCTGAGCTTTTTCTTTTGGAGCTTTGGGAGTTTTTTCTTGAAAATTCTTTTTTAGATCAATCTCAAGATTTCTAAGTTTTTTGGTGGAAATTTACTCGTCCTTCATCTTTCTGCCTACAGTGTCCCTAATACGCCGTTGCAGATTTTCACTTTAGAATTTAAAAATAATTTAGGGGAAGCTAAGTTTAGCTGGACTTTGCTAAACGCTAAGCTAAAAATTGTCACACTATTAGAAGAAATTTACCCACTACTGATGTCCTGAAACTAAAGAACTGAAAAGAGTGTGCTTTGTTTTAATTGTAATTGTAGTAGATAAATTGCTTTTTTATTTGTCTGAAATTCACCAGTGTTCTCCTCTCTTCCCAGGCATTTTTAATACATTACCATTTTTCCTTTCACCTCTTTTCTTTTTTGCATTATTTGTTTTGTCTAGAGGTCTGTCCCCTGCCTCCGCTGGGAGAGTGGAGCGAGTGGAGCGAGTGGAGCGTCTGCGTCCGTGACGGCGCCACCTGTGGTTTCAGATGGGGAAAGCAGACCCGGGTCCGGGAGTACAGCCAGAGCGGGAAAGCGACTGAAAAAGCGTCGGTCTGTTCGCCCCAACGCGAAACACAAAGGTGCAGGATGAAGAAAAAATGTCCCACAGGTAAGAGAGAAAGATCCCACAGTGTTAGCAGCTGCACTAAAATCAGCAAAACATGCAAATTGTTTATCTTCTTTTAGTGAACTTCCAACATCTGTGTTTTAACACAGTCGTGCAATTAATAATGCCAAGTCGGGGGGAATTGGACCTTTTAAAAACATTCCAGTCTCCTCCGGCTCAGCGCTGTGAGGTTATAGATATCCTCTCCCCGCATCACACGAAACACAGCGGATCTCATCTAACCTTTAAAAGGTCATATTTGGTCATCTGGTATTATAAAACCTAAGTTATAAAGTTTAGTAACTTCAGCATCGAGTGACTGATATGTAGTCCAGCCACGCAAAAGCTCTATGTAACAGCAGCTCCCTCCCTATAAAACGTTTGTGTCCAGCTGGTCTTGATTACTGCTGCACTGTGAACATCACAGGCAAATATAAAGATAATAAAAAGTACTGAAGAATCCAATAACCTTTGTCTTTTTAAAGCCAACTCATAAAAACCTCTTCAAGCTAACGTCTCTTCATAATAAACACCAGAAAACTGCAGTTTGGGCTTCTGTTAGAGACGGTCATGGCGAGTTAATGCCTGGAAATAAATATTTAGTTTCTGATTTTAATAATTAGTTTTGAACTTTTACAGTTATTTAGACACTGCTTTAACAACTCTGTGACTCCTGCCATTCAGAAAGTCGTTACTGGTCTCAACATTCAGAGTGATTCATCCAGGGGCGGATCTACACAGGAGCAAAAGGGGGGCTACTGCCCCTCTGCAGTTGAACCTTGCTCCTGTGTATTTTATATTCTCCAAACTAAATATTAATTCACCAAAAGTATGTAATTGCACATATAATCTTGGGCTGCTTTCACACCAGCCCTGTTTGGTTCGCTTTAATCGAACTCCAGTCCGTTTGCTTTGAATGTCCGGCCCATTTAAAGAGGTGGGAATACTTAATCAGGTGAAAAAAGCAAACTCTGCTTCGTCTAAAAACCTCGGTCTCGGTTTGGTTCAAGTGACCTCCAGTGTGGTTTGAATGCATATGTGAACGCCAAGCGGACCAGAGACCGCTCCAAAAGCAGGAAGTGGACTACAGCGCAAGGCATTCTGGGTAAATACAACCAAAACAAACACTAGGCTAGCGCTAGCAGGAGAATTGGCTCCTCGTCTTTGGCTAAAGATAAAAGAGAAATCCTAACACCACTTCATTTTGGTTTTCATTTAGTAAAGAAGGAAGTTAGGATTTATGTTGCTTCCCTTCCTCACGACTCCTTCAGACTAGCCAGCAGCAATTAGCAAATAAAGCTAATGATAAGAAACATTTTTATTGATTTTTTTAGGTAACTATATGGCACAGCTTTCATAGAACCACAAACATAAATATTGTTCTTGTATTCGTAACGTATTCAGGGTGTAAAAAATGACATCCAGTGTCCTGGACTTTTGCATTCAGCGTTTAAGCCGCTAATACTTTTCTGCAGAGTAACCGCAGGCTGCACATCCATCTGTGTACATTCAGGCTAGCAGCATTGCGCTCCTTTTCAACCGCTGCATTCTTCTCTGGAGCGTCATCTGGAACCAACATCTGTCCAGACTGTTCCCATTTGTGGTTCCATGATGGCAGACCAGCCTACAAAATGCTAGCAGGGAAAGGGATTCCCTCGTTCCCACCCACCCCAACCCCCAAAAATGCGTGAAACACCAAAAACGTGCTCAGTTTGCACCTCGCTACCTGTTCTGCTACATTAAGGAGCAAACCAGCCGAGGTTTCTTTCAGGTCTGACGCCTGCATGCTGTTTCTTGCTCCGGATCTGCTTTGATCTTGTTCTCTGTGGTGGAGGCTCCGACTGCAAATATTTTGAAAGCCTCTTGTTGTGTAAATGCTGTCAAACCCAGTTTAGGTTGTAAAAAAAAGGGAGGAGAAAAAAACAGAATGTGCTCTCGGTGTCTTCAGCAGATCCAGAAGTATTGAAGTGACAGCGCCTGGCTCTGGATTCAACTCTGGATTTAAGTAATAATGAACCCCAGACGGATTAAAATTAAACTTGGCAGCTGGTTTTGGCTTTCCCATCAAACCAAAACAAGAAACTATGAGACACAAAGCAGAAGATGAGACTGCAGCATGTTTTTGGTTTTTACAGTAATTCCTTAAAAAGTTCAGATATGCATTGAGTGTTTGAACTTTGTCCACAATATAAGGAATGTCATTTGAGGTATTTATCATTATCACTGGCATATTGTACGTCCTGAAGATATCTTCTGGAAATGGACACATCTGGGACAAAAGAGTCCAGAAGTTTCTCCCAGGTTACACTGCTTTAGTTTTTTAATTCTCCATCTCCAGAGGTACTAGGAGAGTTTTAAAAACTTATAAAACTTTAACAAAAACTGCAGGTGTTTTGGTTAAAACATGTTTGTTTTCATTCAGTGGGTAGAGAATCCAGAAATTTTATTCAAGTAAGAGTAGAGATACTTTATAACACAATTACTCAAGGAAAAAGTACAGTGAAGTAAAAAGGACACTTTTTCAAAAGGTCAGTCAAGTAAATGTAACTGAGTAAATGTAGCTAGTTGCTACCCAGTTCTGTCCGTCTCCTGCTGTGTTATCCTCAGATGAAGTCTCTTATTTTTCTCTAAAACAAGAGATTCTCTTCTGCTTTATATCAAAGTTTTACTAACCTGAAATCCTGTGCTGTTGAGTAAACTTAAATTATGTTAAATAAACCGTAACAGAACTCTTCACATAAACAGCTCAGTGTTTGTTGCAACAGTCCAAGTTAACGTCAAATCAATCAGAAATAATTCACTTGTACAGTCAGATTCAGATCTTCACTTAGATCTTCATCTTGGGGAAGCATTTGGAAACAGTGGAAAGAAAAAGGTCAAATTTAAAAAGAAGAAATCTCAAATAAAACCAG